CATGGAAACCTAATTGGGTCGATGCCTGGAAGAAGTGCAGAGCTCGCTCCTCATTTAGGAGAAAATACATGTGCCCCTCTTGAGGCACGATACAGGGGCCAGGCTCCCTTCTTAAACCCAGGGACCGTGGTAAAGCTTTCTTGACTCGTGAAGGACAGCTAACATGAAGCTATTGGCAAACACTGCCCAAGATAGTGGATTACGTGAAGCCATGGGCCTAAGGAGCTGGGAAGACCTACACAGGCCCTCATGACAACTGGCTGAGCCGAGTCACCCCCAGGTTCATGACTGAAATTGCAGTAGCCCCAGTGCCATCAAGGGGTGTGGTTCCCAAAACAGCTCTATAAATCCTATTCCAGCCCTGGGGACTCTGAAAGGCCTGGTGAAAGAAACCACAAAACTACTAGACAGGGAGAGGTGAATGCAGAGAAATAGAGGGGGGAAATTCTCCCATTCAGGATGAACCTACAAAGTTCAAAATTCATACGGGAAAAGCCAAACTACAAGACCAGCATGGACGATATCAGCACAGTTAATGTGGAGATAACAAAGCAGCCCTACAAAGGACTTTAAAATGACGATGTGTAAGATCTCCAAGGACATAAACAGTGCGATAAGATCTGTTAAATTATAATAAATTGTCCATGAAGCAAAGCAGAAATGAACAAGTACAATGGGAAATGTGAAAAGATCAGAAATATTCAGAATGAAAAACAGACAACAGAATACATAGTTCAGTGGGTAGAATACTCTAATCTGACTTAGTGCAAAAAAAAAAAAAAAAGTTAACTGGGAAAGAGTAGTGAGGAATTCCCCAAAATGCAACCTAGAGAGACAATTATATTAAGGAGTAAAAATAAAAATGGAGAGACATGAAGAATAATTCAAGAAATTTCAGATAATAATTCCCAGATAATGCTAAGAGTTTCAGAAGAAACCCTTCTGAAGGAGAAAAGAGCTGGGAATTTTCTAGAAATGGTGAAACATTTCAGACTTCTCTTTCTCATGGAAAATTTCCTTACGTGAAGGTAAGTCCACAGGGAAGCTCATCATAGTGAAACTGCAGAACGCCAAGGGCAAGGGCAGGGGAAGCTTTGAAAGTTCTCAGAGTTAAAAAATAAAGATTGCCTACGGAGGAGTGATATTTAGTGCCATCATTAGACCCACAACAGACATCTCTTCAGCAGCTGTACATTCAAGAAGACAGTAGATTAGTATTTTCAAAGTGCTGAGGGCAAACTGCAAGACGCCTGGTATAAAACTCTATAACCAGATAAATCGCCACTCGGGACCGAGGGTGGAAAATTCTCCAGATTGCATTGATTGTATGCCTTATCCAGATGGTTGTAGAGAAACATGATGGTTCAACAGCGAAAAAGTGTCTGAGGCAATCAGACATTCGAGAACTCCCTGTGTATGCCAGAGCATTACTGAGTAAGCAAGGCTTGCCGTTCAGTCCGACCTCTCCTTCTACAAAACCTGCAGCACGTGACCGACACTCCTACGCAGGATGCCCACCACAGAGAGGACCAGACCAGGTTCACCAGAATGAGGGTGATTTGGAGCCCAGGGATCACCTCAGACTTGGAAACATGGCTCAGGTGATTGTGGACGCGTGAGCAGTCATGCTCGGGTGAAACCCTGGGGTAAAGACCCCTCACACCAACACCAAAGACCTTTACAGCTTCCCCCTCTCTCGCAAAGGAACCCAGAGTTCTTGGCTGGGACTCACTGAGTGGGCACGAGATATTCTCTAACTGGACTTGCAAAGTAAAGCTTCTACTTCTGGCCGTGAAGAATAATGAGGACCAGACTTGCCCTTCTGCTCTCTGTCTCCAACCAGAAAACTGGACAACAGGTGGCCCAGACTATGATCTCTCAGGGGAAAGACACCAATGAGGTGAGCCCTGTGAGCGCCCAGACTTCCCCGCCAGGGGCACTTTCCAGCCCAGGAGGACACCCTAAGCAGAGCACTGTCATCTCCTCGAGTTGAGGACCAGAGACAAGCTCAGGAGGCTGAGGCTCCAGGCTTTGCAGTACAGAGTGTTGGGAAGGAAGAAGCTACCCAGAAACAAGAGCTCCAGAGATCCGTACAGCAATTCTCTGGAGTCTTTGGCTAATCACTTTTTTCTCACATGGGGCTAGGTCTCCAAGAGCCGGGCAAAGACCAACTACCGGGCGCTGTAAACAGCATAATTCCTAAAACTGACATAGGGATGGACGATCTCGGCGTCCCAACCAATCAGAATGAAGAGACCTCGATGAGCAGACCCAGGAAGTAGCCTGGCTAAACCAGCCATGGGGTCAAGGGCTTTTCGACCTGCCCTCACAAAGATATGACCTGAGCTAGCTGATACAGTGGCACTAGCCATACTGAACCTCGGAATGTTGGCTAGTCCAAACGGAGATGTGCTTTTAAGTATAAATAAGATACACACCAGATATGGAAGGCTTTCGTATGAAAAAAATGAATGTAAACTATCTCATTAGTAGTTTCTATATTGATTACATCTTCAAATGAGAAAACTTCGGGAATAATTGGTTAAATGGAATATATTATTAAAATTTAATTTGGGGTGCCTGGGTGGCTGTTAGTTAAGCGTCTGACTTTGGCTCAGGTCATGATCTCAGGGTCCTGGGATCGAGCCCCAGGATAGTTTCCTCACTACTCCCCACTCAGCTCCCCCTCCACCCTTGCTTCTCCCTCTCCCTCTGCTCCTCCTCCTGCTCATGCTGTCTCTCTCAAATAAATAAACTCTTTAAAAAATTAAATTAAAAAAAAAGAGAGATAGTCCAGTGGTCTATCTCTGTAGCCCGAATGGAAAGTATGCAGGAAGGAACATTCTTCAAAATCCCCAATTAGCTTGCTTGCTTTTTTTTTTTCATTTTTGTAATATATAATTTTATTTCTGGTTATAGAAACAAATGCTAAGAGGAGAAACCGAACTTCCCCATCCACATACAACAAATTTTAATAGATAAAAGGACAGTTAAAATAAATGAAAAACAAAAAGTAGAAATTTTTAAACTTTGTTATAGCTTTAAAACATTAATGTCTGATACACTTAGAAATCACATTCAGATCTCAAACTTTTTTAAAAAAGTATGGCTCTTTATTAAAAAAAATACTGTATCCCATTTGAAATGAAAACGCAGGCGGACCCAGCTGCTGTGGGCCTCTCGTCTTTCTGAGGATGGGGCTGCTGGTTCCCTGCCGCCTGCGGGGCGTCTGGGCCCCCCCGGCCCCGCCCCGGGCTTCCCGTGGACCGACGTGCGCACAGGTGGCGGAAGCCAGCAGCCCAATTAGCTTTCTTACCAATAAAACCTACCCTTTGAAATATTTGAATATTTCTTATCCATATTCAGTGCCTGACATACAATCCTGTTGTAATATATCCTCCCATGACAAATAATTAGGTGCTGTTTGGGAGGGGTGTTCTTGGCCGTAACAGCCTATCTCTGTCTCCAACCAGAAAACTGGACAACAGGTGGCCCAGACTGTGATCTCTCAGGGGAAAGACACCAATGAGGTGAGCCCTGTGAGCGCCCAGGAGGGAATTATGGAACTACTAAGAGGGCTTTAGAAAGGAAGTGCTTTCCAAGAGACCCAAGAGAGAATTAGAAATTCATAAACAGGTTACATTTAGCAGTAGTTAGAGGACAGGGAAACAAAAACAAAAAGCAAGGCCCCACCAGAAAAGACATAACCAGAAACGCCCCCAAAACGTGATTTTAATTAAATATTTTATATTTCCAAATATAAGGAAAAGAGATCTTCCATCAACGGAAGCTCTTTAGGTGGTTCTAAATATCTGCTTCAGTTTGTACCCATCTTCAATTTAGATCTATATAAATATAAATAGTATTTACTAAGACTCGTATTTAATACAAACTTCCAGAAGTGTTTAAATGGAAAAAGTGGGGAAGGAGCAGTGGGGACAGGGGCTTGTTTGTCTCAGAAGCGACAGGGAAGCGGCAGTCCCCTGTCTGTGTATGAGCTGCATTTGTACTGAGAGAGGACACATTTGTAGTGAGAGAGTGACTGAACATTTTGTGAGGAACAGGACAAACTAAGAATCTACGTTATCAACTTTGGTGTGTTCATGGGCTCCTGATGTGTCACAAAGCCACCTTCTGGAAGAGCAGTTAGTTTCTCCAAAACAGGCTAGAAGTTTCTATGGGCAGCCCTGGTTTTTAGGGGATCATTACGTGTTTCTTAGACAGCCCTTCCAGGTGTGAGGACGTACAATCAAGACACATATCAGGGAGAAAACAGAGAAGCAACAATGCCCCGTTAACATTTTCTTGATGAAAATGTCTGGGCACCTGAGAAATAAGTGGATTATCTCAATCCAGTAAAATGGCATTCAAGTAAAAAATATCCAAGTATTATAAGTCAGTCTGCATTTCCTGTGTGAATTCAAAATTGAAATATTTCACACCAAAATGCCAATAATCTGTGCAAAGATTAGATCCTTATCAAATCCTGCACTCAGATGCACATGCAGGCTTGCCTTGGATCCTCTCCTCTCAGAGCTGCAAAATTCACAAATATGGTACAATCTCTAGAGTCATCACGGAGCTGGAGAGGTAATGCAGAAACCAATTTGCCTTTCCAGTAATTGTGACATTGCAAGAAAAAGTCACAGCTTCTATTGATTCATTGAGTGGAGTCAACCTGCGGGTAGACATTTGTATTCATGTACACCAATTCCGTTCATACCCACACCCTCCTGTTAGATACTAGTGCGTGTTCCTAATCTTTTGTCCTTTGCACGCAATTTGCGCACATAACACGACAATCCTTTTAACTGGGTCTGTCTTCCCAACAGCCTTGAGATCCGAATCCTGAGAACTTTAGAACCTGTAAACATATTAAAATCTAACAAATGTAACATATTAGCTCTATAAATCTAACACATGAAATGCACACCCTCTAAAAAGCCAAGCAATGTTTACAGTCCACAGCTAGTAAGAACTTATTCACACACTAATTTTTCTTTCTATTGGCTCATATATACTCAGGACTGAGTTAGTTGTTTTCCACTTTTGGCCAAGCTTTGTCTTTTACTTTCATGTTTGAAATTTCCATTTTCAAGTTAGCTAGTAATGTCCCTCTGGATCATTTCTTGAATTCTCTCTGCTAGTGCACAAAGATTAGCTTTTCTGAGGCCTCTAATTAAATTGCAATATGCATCTCTCCTCCCGTGGAGTTGGTACCAATTACGGAGGAGTTGGACTTTCTGTTCCGCTGTGTCTTGGAGATTGTCATTCTTGATCTCATCTATTTTGGCTTCATTGATACCATTCTTCCGAACAAATTCTCTGACTTGAGTTATTGTCATTTGTTCAACAATACTAGTGATATATTTACTCAGGTCGATGTCTGAAAAATAGAGGACAGTCTCTGAAAATTTGTTTTGCGAAACCAAAGTCTTATTATTGAAAACCATGTTTATTTCTCTTCTATACTGGTTAATTCCTAGAGATTGGAAGAACTGGTTGGGGAAAAATGAAAACAGAACCCCCCAAGTTCTAATCCCAACCCCTCCTGGATCCCCAGTAATTTGCTCTATGACGTGGGCAAGATATATGACATCTCTCTATCTTCTTTTCTTGGCTATAAAATAAGAGGGTTGGAAAAGATCACCTCTAATGTTCTTTATGGATCTGATGATCAGTGACCCACAAACCTAAAAGGAAGGCAAAGACTTTATGATTTTCTCTCTGACTCACAGGTAGAGAGAAGCAGAACTGAATAGAATCGTGGAATACACCAGAACCAGGAATACACCAGGAATAACCAAGTCTACAATTCAGTTTATTTAGTCCCTAAATCAACTCAAGCAGGAATTCTATAATACACCTGTTTGTGAAGGAAAACGCTCTTAAGCCTCAGAATATGGCATTTTATTGCTCCCTGACTTATTTTTAACTATGAGTATTAGTTATGCAGTCAAACACACTGTCTGATAAACCCTTGATGGTGAGCAGAATGAACTCTAACCTCAAGGAAGAGACCCCACAATATGTCACTGAAATTAGCAATATTGTTTTACTCTGAAATCAGCCTGTTAACTCCCCAGGAAGCCATCTCCGTGAAATACAGTGATAGAAGCCTTACCTGCATAATTTATTGGCATCATTTCCTGGGGGAGACAAAAAATGGAGGGAAGGAGCAAGATAAATAAACATCTATTTATAATATTCTAAATGTAATTGTCTAATTCTTCCTTAATACTGAAGGAAGTACAATCAGTAGCTTGATGTATAAGATTAGCTAGATGATGTGATTCAGGATTCTCTTCCCACTCAAATTTTTATTCTGCAAAGTTCCAGCCTTGCTGGAATACTAACTTAGCACTCTCGTATGCTTTGTTAATTAAGTCTCATGCTATTTGTGTAGGAGCTTTCTATAAACCGGGCACCAAATCTTCGTCCGTTCTTGATGCCCCTCTAATCCATGCACACGTACTCACAATAAAGGTTTGTTTTAAAACAAGGAGCAAATAAAACACTGAATTGCTACTTTCTCCATTTTCTTAAGAAAGCGGATGCATGTTTCGACACCTACAGTTGTTGAGGCTATGAATCCAGGGTCTTCATTCTTTTTATTCCTGCGCCGTCTTAACTTCCCTGGAAGATCAAAGACATTTCTGTCAGACTCAGGTCTCAGCCTTGTAGGAAGCCTGTGAGAACAAACTCTCGCACTACGAGAAGTGGGAGAAGGAAGGAGAAATTCACTGAAACTTAAAGTGACCAACACCCCCAAGAGGCAGCATTGTCCCGATTTTGGAAATCCCACCCCGTGAGGTCAAATGTTCTAGAGATATATCACGTTTTAATTGGCCATCCCATGATCACACACTGGCCTAGCCTGAAGCTGGCTTTTGACTTACCGTACGTCCACCACTACTCCCTGTCACCAGAATGGAATTGGGGGGCATGCCTGTGGCAGGACTCAGAAGCCACAGGATATGGAAAGTTGGCATTCAAGGCCCAGAAATTCAAGTACATAGGCTCACAAATCCCTACAGTATACACTCAGTGCGTGTGTGCCTTGAAGTCAGGCTAAATGAAAGAAAGGACACGTCTCCAAGCACGACGATCGTGTTTAGGCACTGAGTGTGTATTTTTGGCCTCTAAAGGCAAGGCGACCTCTTATCTTCACCTGATCTGGAGAAGCAGTGATGGGTTCCCACGGAAAAGGAAAAACCGATGCCTCCAAGTTTTTCTATGGTCATCATGATTATGCCCAATTTGGGCTTACCTGTTGACTTTGCTAAGTAACCCTAGCATAAGTTCTATTGCCACAGTATTTTAAGTTAAGATGGAGAAATAATAGTAAAAACACAAAAGCCATGGAGTCTGAACAAGGGAGAGGAGGCAGAGAGGACAAACTTATCAAGTGTTCCCCACACTCTTTCCCAGGAAGATCCTTTCTTCTCGTGTTCTTTATGGGGCCATCTCAATGAGCAGTCAAGGATTCCTTCTGCTTCTGACCCACTCAGCTGCTGCCGGGGTAAAAACCTACCCTTGTTCATACGGAGGATGGGAATATCCATTCTGAGCTCTGGAATGACTGCTCAAAAACAGTAGCCGAGGGATGATATCATCTAGTTCTTATCAGCTCTCAGGGGTGCATTCAGCAGCGGGAATTTAACAATATAACAGAGCTACCTACCTGGCAGGAGCTTTCTTACGGGTAGGAGACAGAGGGGAATTCTTGTGAATAACTACTTTCCAAGTTATTTCAATCAGCAGTGGTTTGAACAAAGTAAGAACTTACACCAACATAGTGCAGATATTACAATCGGGATTAGGGCAAAAAACCACAGAAATTTGGAGCTGGATCCTGCAGGTAGAAACATTGAACACTGAATGTGAAAACAAGCAATCTTTAAGACTGAACAGAGTACTCTCAAAGAATCAAAAGAGATTGGCTTTTCTTCATATTTTACAGTAGGGGTGAGAGAGAGGAGGATATAATCATAAAAAGAAATAACAACCTTCTCTACATTTGGTGTTGCTGGTTGGTGTGCAGTTCTCAAGGATTCCATGTTCACACCTAAAAAAAAAAAACCAAAAAACAAAAACTAACAGGGGCACCTGGGGGGCTCAGTCGGTTGAGTGTCCAACTCTTGATTTCGGCTCAGGTCATGATCTCAGGGTCGTGAGATCAAGTCCTGCATCGGGTTCCCGTGCTCAGCGTGGAGTCTGCTTGGGATTCTCTCTCCCTCTGCCCCCGCACCTTACCCCACCACTTGCATGAGTGTGTGTGTGTGTGTGTGTGTGTGTCTCAAAATAAATAAATAAAATCTTAAAAAAAAATACAGAGGAAATTCAAAAAGCCTGGTGGACTGACTCCTTGATCATCTACAATGACACACTCTAAATCCAGTGCCATTTTATTCATCTTTGCATCTCCAGGAAACATCATCCCTCAAATATTACTAGAATAAGCATCTAAAGCTGGTACAAATTCATAACATAATTTGGATGTTTGGATGAGAAATATCCTAAAGAGTAACTATGTTTGTTATAAAATATCAAGAGTTGGGGCGCCTGGGTGGCTCAGTCGGTTAAGCATCTGCCTTCAGCTCAGGTCATGATCCCAGGGTCCTGGGACTGAGTCCTGCATTGGGCTCCCTGCTCAGCACAGAGTCTGCTCGTCCGTCTCCCTCAGCCCCTCCCTACCCACCCCTGCTTGTGCTTTGTCTCTCTCACTCTCAAATAAATAAATAAAATCTTTTTAAAAAATGCCGAGAATTAAAGGAAAGTAATAAAATATTGACAAATAGGAAAAAGGATGAAAGAGACAAAGATTTAAAATTGGTAGTAAGCAGTGCTCTCAAAATCATAAACTGCCAAAAGCTATTTCAAAACAGTCCCACTGAACAGTAAAATGACTGGATAACAGCCCCTGCCCATGATTCTGCTTAGAAAGCTACCCAGCCAGCCCTCAGAGGCTTCCCCTCCCAGCAGCAAGTGGTGATCACGAAACTCAAGAGGAAAATCCTTGGGATTTCCTTCGGACCGGCAGATTGTTAGATTGTCTGAATGATAGCCTGGTTCAGCCCATTCCCTAACTCTGTGACCTTGGGTATGTCACTTAACCACCATGAGCCTGTTTTCTCATCAATAACAATGAGATTACATTACAATAACAAGGAGGGTTATGGTGAAAAGAAAATTAAATTGAGTTTAGGAGGTATTTAGAACTATTATTACAGCGGACCTTTGAACGATGTGGGAGTTGGGGCACTGACCCCCCCCCACCGTATAGTTGAAAATCCTCATATAACTTTTGACGCCCTCAAAACTTAACTACTAATAGCCTACTGTTGACCAGAAGTCTTACTGATAACATAAATGGTCGATTAACACGTTTTGTATATTACATGCATTCTACACTGTATTCTTTCAATGAACTAAGCTAAAGAAAAGAAAATGTTACTTCAAAATCAAGAGAAAGGGGCACCTGCGTGTCTCAGTCAGTTAAGCATCTGACTCTTGATTTCGGCTCAGGTCATGGTCTCAGGGTCGGGAGATCGAGCCCTATGTCAAGCTCTGTGCTGTGCGTGGAGCCTGCTTGGGATTCTCTCTCCCTTTCCCTCTGCCCCTACCTCCCCACCCTGCTCATGCTCTCTCTCTCTCTCTCTTTAAAAAAAAAAAAAAGTCAAGTCATAAGGAAGAGAAAATACATTTACAGTGCTGTACTGTACTTACTGAAAGAAACCCACATATAAGTGGACCCTCACAGTTCAAACCCATGTTGTTGATGGGGCAATGTATTATTATTATTATTATTTCAGCATGTTAGTCCCTCCCCTGTAATCCCTACTTATGCCATCATCAGGCACTCTCAGCCATGGGGGGGCTAGAAGGGAAAGACTAGGTTAAGTGCACGTAATTTTAAATTTCTAGTCAATAAGAGACATAAGGCATTGTGTCCCTACTTCTCAAGTCAACTAGGTGAACTCCCAAACATTTCCCAAGGTGAAATACAAGTTTAAGGAGAGGCACATGAATATAATCCTAAATGTTTATATTGGTACCACACAATATCTTACGGAGCCAAAAGCTACTTTATAACACGTATCACCCAGTCTACACTTCACAGAAATGAGGCTGATAGGAGATGTGAATACTGTTTGCATCCCATGAGTGAGGGAATGGATGCTCGGAGAGGTTCAGTGACCTGCTCAAAATCACCCAATCAATCAGAAGAAAAGGGAGATGCACAATCAGGTTTCCTAACTTTGGGTCCAAACCAAGCTCTTTTGCATGAAAGACAAGGTCCTTCATGATCTGGCACTGGTTCCTTCTCACCACGCTCTGGCCAGGTACTCTGCTCTCTGGAATGGCCGTCTGTATTTCTGCAGATGCTACCCCCTGCCTGAGATGTCCTGTCCATGTGTGCACACCTGGGGATGTTCTTTCTTTCCTCTCTCAAGACTCCCGTCAGGTGTCCTATCTTCACCCGCCCCCTCAGGCAAAGCTGGAAGGTTCTCCGTAGAACTCCTAACAGCCTGAGCACATGTCTCTTCTGGTGCTTGACCCCATAACCATTGCTTTTCTTGACTCTCTCTGCCTCTCGCCTGAGACCTTTGATGCCAGGAATGTGGCTTGCCTGTAACACTTGTTAGCATAAGCAGCACGCACAGTACAAGCACATAGGAGGTATTCAATAAACGTTTGGAGACTGGACATTTGAATGAACGAACAGTTATCTAGTGGCTTAGAGGCAAAGCAAGACTAGAACCCAAATTCTTGACTCTCAGCCAGTGTTGCTTCCCTCTAGGAAGACAGTCTGTCCAGGTATATCTAGCATCTTGATCAAAGAAAGATGAAAACTTACGTGGTGCACGGGGTACAATGTCCGCATTCAGAGATGTTACAAAAAAAGTTTGGTTTACATCTGCACTTGGTATTGTGGGTCCGGGTACAGTTTCTCTCCACTTCAAAGCCTAGAAAACCAGTTTGCAGACTATTAATTACAGCAACTGGTGAGCATGGGCTGTAAGAGGTTTTGAGATCTACCGCTTAAACCAGCACACGTTTTGCAACACGGGTAGCGTTTACGAGCAAAACAGGTGACCCCAGCAGAGTTTTAAGTGGACAGACAGTCCAGCAGCCAACACAACCCCACTTTTGCTTTAAAGAGTTCCCCTGTTCCTCTAGAGCCTGGCTGCTTAGGACGTGGCTTGTGGACCAACAGCATTGGCCTCAGTCGGAAGCCTGTTAGAAATGCAGAATATCAGGGGCACCTCGGTGAAGCGTCTGACTTCAGCTGGGGTCGTGATCTCATGGTTTTGGGATCGAGCCCTGCATTGGCCTCCCTGCTTAGCAGGGAGTCTGCTTTTCTTTCTCCCTCTGCCCCCTGCCCCTCGCTCATGCTTGCTCTCTCTGTCAAATAAATTAATAAAATCTTAAAAAAAAAAAAAAGAAATGCAGAATATCAGGCCCAACTCCGGACTTAGACCGATGCCAAAGCCCTCACTTAGAGATTCTGATTTAATTGCTCTAAGGTGGGAACTAAATGTTGACATTTTCAACACTCCCTGTGTGATCCTAATGGACAACTGAGAAACATTCCTTTAGAGCCTGAAGGGGGACAAGAAAAGTTTTATGTCCAGGCATTTCTTGATATCAAATGAAACTGGGAATATTTCTGTTACATTTGAATCTGGGCTCTCATGATATATTGGGACATTCATAAAAATTCAGGTCCCCAGTTGGAATTATCAGGACAAAATTGATCTCTGGAGGGAGATGGGGAGCATCCCACCCACCTCTTGGATTCCTCTGTCCTTGTATCAGAAGGCTTCTGAGCTCTTGCTGGCTATAACAAGAGCATCAATCAAGGCAAGAAAAAAAAAAAAATCTCTGCCAATTTTGACGGCAGCTGATGAACCTGTTCACCAGGTTCATATTTAGTCATCTTGGGAGAAATGCCTAGATTTGACCCACAAATGTCTAGACCAGTGATTAGCTCGGTACCTGGTCCTGCTTCACACCAGCCAGCTCCATCTTGTCCTTTCCTCTATGACACATAGCACCAGAGTAGGTCCCAATTTCAAAGTGTATATGTATTATGCTCCAAATCATGGAGTACAATGATTGGTCTTTCTGATTGCTTTTTAAGGCACTTACCGAGCTGTCTATCACAAATTCCACATCTTCTGCATTTATAAGAAAAATGCTCTTGGTCTGTGTACTCCTTCCCTTCCTGGCAGGGCACACATTCTGATTCACCCTCCTCAGATTTGCAGTCACCCTCTTTCCGTGTGCCTGCCCGAGAGAAAAATGCAGCAAGCGTTGGAACACAAGGAATGCAAGGGACATGCAACTGTGTGGGAGATATGACAAAGGGATGACAAAGAAATGGGAGTCAGGACTGTCAGACTAATGATACATAAATACAACGGGAAAGAAGGTTATTGTAAAACTCCTGTCACCAGGCAGAAAGTCTCCCAAGACAAAAGCTCAAAGAGTGTCTCAAAGAATATGCCTGGAGACATAGGACGATTAGCAATAGGAATATATATATATTTTAAAAGGTTAGAACGACCTGGAAGAAATGCCTCTAGCAACTTTCTTTGCAAGGGAGGGCAGAGGTTTGTATTCATTCCTCTTTCTATTCCTTTGCCATTAAGGGTGCATTTTCATGGGAAGGCACGAACATATTAATGACAAAATTTATTATCAGGTGGGTTATCTTCATTCACATGATTGTAAATAATATTCGTATTCGCTTCACTTGTCAAATAAGGTGAGTCCCTGTATTGGTGTTCGTAAGCAGTTGACAGCAATGCTTTCTCTTGAAAATTCATTTATTTAACAAGTGTTTATTAAATGCCTATTGTATGTCAGGCACTTTCTAGGAGCCAGAGAACCTGCAGGAAGGAAGACAAGGCCTAGGTCTGCAAGGGCTTCACGTTTCCAGGGAAGAAGCAGGTCATGCCCAGATCAATGTCTGATGTCAAGTGGTGGTAAGTGCCTTGGGGAACAGGAAAGCCTGGCTGGTGGTTTTCATTATTCATGGTGTAACTAATTAAAAAAAGGATAGGCTGAGTCTAATCTGCCTTACATATGTGTGCGGCAAAAATAATTTATGCTCTTTCCTGGGTACATGACTTTCTTAACAACTGCTAGCATTCTTTCTGAGAACACATAATACTACATAAGCAAATGATGAACCTGAAACAGGTATGATATTGTAGTCAACAAAGAAGACAATAGTGGGTCAGGAGCACAAAGTAAGTTGTGAAAACCCAGAACCAAATTCAAATACCGAGCATCATCGAGCATCGGGGCTGTACAACATCGTAGCAGTGTTTAAGAACACCGAGCCAAAGTACAATTTTGTTGGCCTGCCAGGCGTATTATAATGGTTTCTACACAAATTGGCCCCTCTAACGAATTACCTTGCAGAATAAGCCTAGCGCAATGCCTACGGCATGACAGTTAACACAGGGCTATCTCTCTTCCAACGTACACAACCTCAATTTATCAAAATATTTATCAAAATACGTGGTTGCTTTCTCTTTTTTAATTAATTTTTTTTTTATTTAAAGAGAGAGTGGCGGGGGAGAGGCAGGGAGAGAGAGAGAATCTCAAGAGGACTCTCCGCTGAGCATGGAGCCCGAGGCGGGGCTCGATCCCACGACCCTGAGATCATGACCCGAGCCGAAATCACAAGGTGCTGCTTAACCGACTGAGCTGCCCAGGCGTCCCTGAGTGGTTGTTTTCCTGAAAATAAAATTTTACAATACATTTGTTTCTGAGTGTAATAGTACACATGCTCAATGTGGAAAATTTGGAAAAGTTCGGGAAGTATAAAAAGCACCTGTATGTCAACCAGGCTGAGAAAGTCATGGTTATTGTTTTGGCGCATTCCTATGCGTGTACGCCCATGCATACATGTGAGCATATGTGCATGTAATATGCATGTGTGTGCGTGTGTACTGTATGTGGTGTACCACAGAATCCTTCCGATTAGATAAGGTGATGTGATAAGGCCTTTTTGATCCATTAATCAAAAATGTCATTTCACGTAGGCCATCATTGAAAAAAAATACTGTAAGTATTTTAATTTACAAAGTATAACTGTGTACTTATTGGCCAGTCTTGTGGTGTAGGAAAAAGTAATAAAAATTCCAGATTCTTCCTCATGTAGGTGGCATTCAAAATGCCTCCCTTCCTGTTTTTCTTTCTCTTCCTCCCTCCCTGCTCCCTTCCCTTTCTCCCTCCCTCCCTTCTTTCCTTTCTTCCTTTCTTTTTGATGGAAACAAACCCTTACAGATACCAATAATTTGTATGACAGGCTTTCAAGGGTTTTGTGTTTTTTTCCATTTATTTTGACCTCATCCCATTCAACAACAATTCTTTTAGCAGCTCACCTGGACTGAAATCCTCCAAGCATTCAAACGAGTTTTTGTAGAAGTAAAATCTGTCTTTTTCTCTGTATTTGTACAGCATTGGCTTATATACTAGTTAATTAAATTACATATTAATATCACAACACCAGTGAGCATAAAGACTCAGAAGCAATTTGAATAGTGATAAGCCTACAATTCAACAAGAGAGAATAGGGGCAGAAAGAGGAATAGTGTGTGTTGGACACCACCCAGGATTCTTAGAGATGGAACAGAGAGAGTCAGTGAATCCAGCAGGCAGAGCAGTTAGAAATCCCTTCATGGGGGTGGGGCACCTGGGGTGGCTCAGGCGATTAATCATCCGACTCTTGGTTTTGGCTCAGGTCATGATCTCAGGGTTGTAAGATCGAGCCCTGTATTGGGCTCCTCAGCGCGGAGCCTGCTTGAAATTCTCTCCCTCCCCCCCCCCCCCAACCCCCATTCTCTCTCTCAAAAAAAATAAAATTCCTTCAGGGAATTTATACATTAAGGCTTATGTCAGAAATACATGAGAAAACATGATAGAACTGATGGAGACATTCAACTTTTGCACACTCCAAAATGTACTTAATCAATCCCACATCACTGAGTATCACAATGGAGCGTCACGCATACAATATTTTCCTTTGACTATTTTTAAAGACATCCTCCCCATAAATTTATTACTACATCAATAGGCATGAACATTTTCAAGTTTTTGACCCACATATCCAAATTTCTTTCTTAAATGGTTGTAACAATTTACCTTCCAATTATGGTCAATGAGAGTTCTTATCTCAAAAGCAAACCCAGGGTTGAAAGCACTTCTTCAGTGAAAATAAAACAAAGCAAAGAGAAAAGAGAAAAGCAAACAGACAAAAATCTTTGACAGTTTGAAGGGCAAAGCATATTATCTTTGTTTGAATTTGCATTTTAAGTTTTACAAATATGAGGAAGGACCTTAAGTCCTCGGGCAAATAGATGATGTTTGGCAAGTTATTAAAAGGTCAGGAAGCCATTCTCTGTTTCCTTTTGGAGAAGAGTAAATGTAAATAGGCTTAAGTATAAATGGGTTGGATTATAAGGGAGATTTTCCGTGAGCATTATTCAAAACTGCACAGGAGGCCAAGGGAGACTGATAGAATCTTTATAAACAGGACTTAAGCCTGTTTAGCTGCTTCAGTGCTGGAAGCCTGGGATGCTCACCACAAAACCTACTATGTACAGTCCTTTATGGTTCTATTCATCTACAGCTGCACCCCACGTGCTTTTTCCCTTTATCTTCCTCTCGTACTTCACAAGGCAGCTGAGAGGGAGTCACATCTCGATGGTAAGTCAGCTCTACTCCATGTTGAAAAAAAAGGTTTGCACCACTGCCTTTTGCGAAGCTTCTAATTTGCCAGTGTTTGAAGGATTTCCGATCTGAAATTGGTTTGCATTTCAAGATACTGGTGTTAAAAATTTGTTGGGTTTTGTCCATTGCTTTTCTAGCTCATCTAGTTTCAGCTGCAAAAATGCAAATGTATTTTGCAGGCCTCAGAGACCTTCTGACTGAAGGGAATTGTTAGACACATCTCTTAAGGGGCTGGGGGGGAGGTCCCTCGCTTTCAGAGCTCCATGGTTATGCAGATACATTTTAATCAGTTCTGTTGGAGGTGGAGCAAGATGGCAGAGGAGTAGGAGACCTGGATTTCGTCTGGTCTCAGGAATTCAGCTGAATAGGGATCAAACCATTCTGAACACCTACGAACTCAACAGGAGATCGAAGATAAGAATAGTAACAACACTCTGAACAGAAAAGCGACCACT